CAGACTATTCTTCCAGCTGTTTGCAAAATAAACTACCTACATTTTTTTTCACATTTAATTTCTTTAAGGGAGGCTTTTTAAAAATTTCTTGCTAGTTGTTATGCATAATTAATGCTGTATCGTTAAAAACATGTAACATAAAAGCTGTTTATGTTTTGTATTCTTAGCTACAAAGTCAATTTAAATTTAATTTTTTTGTCTAAACCAATATCTGACTTTGATCTCTGGAGAAGTCTTCAGAATGAGGTCTATGCATCTTTTAAGAAGACATAGGCTACAGGAAATACCAGTGATAAGCTAATGGTAAAACAATGAATGATACATGACAAAATGTGGGAAGCGTGGTCGAGAGGCTAAGTGCGTTTGAACTTGACTTGGCTACCTATGAAGGGGACTCGAAGTTTGACACCCAACTCGGGCAGAGCTGTGTTTAACTGAGCAACTAAAGGCTGCAGGGAAAAACCTTCTCCTAGGTACCCCCTCCCCCCACGGGTCCACAAATGAGATTGGACCAAAGCGCTCTGAGCATGCTATAAGCATGAAAGTAGTGCTATATAAAAGCCATAATTTATTTACTTATTTATATGTATGTTTACATAGATAATGGCAGCATTAGATTAAAAAAATTTGTATGAGAGGTAATTATAGATTTGGTCAAATAATGATCAGTCCTGACAAGGCATGATCTACAGACCCTTCCATTTGTTCTTAAGAGAAGTATATGGAGAAAATCCATGACAATTGAATTGAAGGGGAGGGTTGTCCTATGATAGAAAGAGAGGGAAATGGCAGAGAGTTAAATGGTTGACCTAATCAACACCAAGCCAAAACAGCAACACCTAAAATGTCAAGGCTGGACAAGCAGCATCTATATGACCAGTGCCACAACTGAAACCACCAAAGTAATAGAGAACCACAGTCAAAATATTGTGACTAAAAACAATTCAATTTAAACACTATATATACTGAAAAATTGCGTTTATGTAGGAGACAATGGTAAAGAGATTGACTTCCAAACCATGGGGTCTGGAATTTGAATCATTGTGACGAGTGAGGTTTTGAGCTTTAAGGATGCCCCTGATTCCAAAGAGCAATAACAGGTACTTGACATTAATCAATGGGGGAAAGTAAAGTCATTGTGCTGGTCAAACACTGATTAAATGTCAACTATAGAAACAGATAAGCTTTGGACCACCTGCCCAAATATAGCAAAGCATGAAAATAGAAATTGAGTGCCTTTAATAAAATGATTACAGACAAAATCTGCTCTAATGGTGCCTGATTTAAAAATTTGTGTGAAAATATATGTGAATAATTGAGAGTATATTTTTTTAAAGAAAATTCTATTAACAAAAGGGAGGGGCGGTGGCTGAGTGGTAAAACCAGGGGTCCCAGGTTCAAATCCTGGTGAAGACTGCCATTTTTAATTTTGGGATCTTTAGGACACCTCTGAGTCCGACCAGTTCTAATGGATACCTGACATTAGTTACTGAAAAGTAAAGGCAGTTGGTCAATGTGCTGGCCACGTGACTCTCCTTAACCATGGGCCACAGAACAGATGACCTTTACATCGTCTGCCCCATAGATTGCAAGGTCTAAAAGGGGAGCTTTACTTTTTAAAACTATTAACAAAAAGATGTGCTCATGAAAAGAAATTCAGAATCACATTTTTTATAGCTTTCATTATCAAAATGCATCATCTGTAATATTTCAATATAACACCAAGGTCAGCTTTTAACTATCCCGCTCCTCTATGAATTACACAATAAACCAACCCACATGCCACAAATTTATAAAAACCCTATTTATGTTTAGTTTCTAACCTTTGTTTCCAGCACAGAATCCAATGGCTGTACACACTTGACTGGGATCTAGTTCTTTAATTAAAAGTTGGAAAATCATGGGGCCATACTCTTCAATAAAATTGTTACATTCTTGAATTACAGAACTTGGTAAAATTGCACAAGCTTCTTCCAGCAAGGATTCTATCTCAGCCTGAAATTAACAAGTTTTGAAAAAAAAAATTAAATTTTTACCAAAAAATTATCAAAATATTTATAAAATCTTAATCAATAATTACTCAACAAAGAATCAAATATCAAGCTAAAATATTTAATTTGAAAAACACATTATAAATGCCTTAGAAGATAATTATATATTTATCTATATAGATATAAATACATAATTTAGTGCAAAGATAAATCTTTATTACCTCTGTGGCATTTTCGCCCAAGAATGAATCAACATATGTCAGCACATATTTACACAAGTCACACATTTCACCTTTGACCTTTGTTTTTACATTTGAAATCAGATTTAGGCTTGCTACAATAAAAACATATAAATTATGAATTACATTTAAATTAGGTATAGATTTGCTACAATCAAATATTTCTACACAGCCATGGTTTCACATTAACTGTCAAGTTTCTAAAAAGTTTAATTTGTTGTTTAAAAGCTATTAATACAACTGGCATCTTAATCTTCAGGAAAAACATTTTTTAAAACATGTTTATTTATAGAAAGAAACTCAATTTCAATGATGAGGCCAGGTTTGGGTCACAGGGTCAAGATCAGCTAAATCAATACGATTCACATTATCTTATACTACCAATAGGATGAGTTGATAAAATTCAAATTGTACCACAATTGTTATTCATTTAGACAATATTAATAACCCAATTAATTTTAAGGATGAAGGTGCACTTAATAAAATTCCTTTAAAAAGAAATGGCAAACATGGTTTTATGGCATCTCAAGTGTCCAAGTAACAATGTCATGGAGCACAACAGTTACATTGGCAACAGCTGGTCAGTGCATTTGTTCATGTTAATTGTTTTAAATTGTTGTTGTTACTAAAACAGTTTGAATATTTCCATTTATCAGGTCAAAGGAAATAATTACAATCTAAATATTTTCCCATAGAGTTCTTTGACCAAACAGTTAAATTGTTTAGCCTAGAGTTTGATTCCAAATAAATTCCCTCTTCAGCAATACTAACTCTCTCTGGCCAAATAACTTGACCACATTATTCAAATTCTTTACTGGACTTCAGCATTTATCTTTTGTAAATATCTATTCCTAATATATAGTAGTCTATTGTTTCTTTTATAATCTATTGACACCATTCAAAGAAGAGCATAAGCTTAAGCATATTGTAACAAAGGTCTCTCTAGTTGCAATCATTCATAGTAGCTTCTAAGTTTCTTTTGTTACTACATACATTTGAGCTACTTGTAATACCTTTTAAACATAAACCCCAATTTGTATGACACATAAAGTAACTAGTTTTAAAATCTTATTTAGTTAACAGGAAAGATCTAGAGGTAAAAAATTAAAAAAAACCTAGATGAAAATATGCATAAAAACAATGTCAACTAGTATTGGACACACTTTGTCAATATGTTTCATGGGTCAAGGACAAACACATGTTGAAAATAGTTCAATTAACACCCAGTGTCTTAATTGCTACCATTGATTTTTACATGTTTTTAAACTCATTTATACATTTTAGTTACAGGCATTTTTCTTTTCAATATTCAATCACTTCCAATGCTTCAACAAAAAAATCATATTAGATAAAGTCTAAACTTTGTTTAAGATATTAATGAACATTTAGATGGTTTTTTATTCTAAATGCCTAGCAGAAAGCTTAGTGAGAACAACAGACAGGCTAAAGCATAACAAAAGTAGTCAGAACTTGCTTCTGAACCTCGCTCAGAATGTCATGGGAACTTGTGTGCAACAATAAATTCATAGACTGGCACAGAACTGCAGTGCTTGAAGTACGTCCTTGACCTAGTGGGGTTTTATTGTGAATTTAAAATGTTCTAAAATTATCACCTTCACCTATCCCTTAGTCTGTTAAACTGTTGAGTCACCACACAGGATCAGTCAACTGTCTTTCTCTATTCCTCTGTCCTTTGCCTTGGGTAGAATTTCATTCACTGACAAGCCTGTCCAATCTTTGATGTCTTCCCATCACTTTCTGTTTTCCTCTTCTTCTTCATGGTACTGTTCCCTGAAGGAAGGTCTTTGGAAGCCCTGAGGACCTTGTGATTTGGTCATAAAGTTTGAGTTTATAGGTTATCATTGGGTCCAATGGATGTATTAATCATGTTTCTAATCTCTTTATTTGTGATGCAGTCTTTGTAAGTGACACCTAGGATCTTTCTGTAGCATTTTAGTTCCATTGCTAGGGTCCTCCTCTTGAGATTTGCAGTCAGCGTCCAAGATTCACATGCATATAAGAATGTTGCTGTGACCAGGGAGCACATCAGTCTGATTTTAGCATCGAGGGCTATACCTTTGTCTGTCCAGATTGTTTTTGTGCTTTGCAAGTGCTGCTGTAGACTGTGCAATTAGGGCCAGAAGTTCAGGTTTGGTTCCTTCATCTGAGACAATAGCTCCAAGGTATTTAAAACTACTGACACTTGTCAGCTTTTTGCCACCAATGCTGATGTCCCTTTTAAAGCCCTATTGGCTATTAGTCATAATTTGTGTTTTTTCTGCAATGATTTGCATACTATATTCTGTGAAAGTCTTGTCTATGAATATCACCAAGTCAGCTGATTCCTCTTCTGTCCCTGCCAGACCATCTATGTTGTCCTCAAAGCACTTTAGTCATTTGTCTATCTTCAATGCTCACAATTACTAATCAATTATCACAGAAATGATTTACCAACTTATTTATTTCAATGGAAAGGATCAGAAAGAATACTGTTAATGTTACCAGATACAGTGAAATAAAGTTCATCGGGCCAGTCGTATATTCAACCTTAAATACTGAAACAAATCCAATTGTAGTCAAAGCTGGTTTATCGGATCAGATGGTAGGACACACAAATCATGTCCAGATGTGGTCTGATTAAGTGGATTTGAATGTAATATGTCAACCAGATAGAAAGTACCATTCAGAGAAAAATATACCCATACAATTAACACATGCTTCTTTCTATTAACAACACATTTCAAGGCTGACACATCAATGTAATACACAAATCACTGTTTCAAAATCTCATTTTATTTCTTACTATCACAAAGTACAGAAGGTCGTGATTTTCAAAATGTGACTAAATATCAATACCAGTCAAGACTCAAAGGGTTGTGTTTTTTTTTTTTTTACACTTAAATAGAGCTACCTACCCTTCCCATCCTTTAGTAAATGCAGTATACACAAACATCTAGTAAAAAAAAAATGTAATTTTAATGTTTCTCTTTTCTCTAAAATGTCACAATTTTCCTTTTCTAATGGGATTCCAATGAACTGTTATGCTTCATTGTCAGTGAAAGTAATGCTTCACCCTTGTTGCTTGTACAGAGTCGTATTACTCTACATATTTTAGTTAAATCTAGTTCTTGAAGTAACAATTAAATGTAACTCAACCCCTCTACCAGAAAAAAATAAAACAACATATTATTTCCAAGCTTTAATGTTTGATAGTTTGATATTAGTTACCCAACAGGACCCCCTAACTCTTGTCACGCAAGCAGTGTCTCACCCTTGTTTCCAGTGCAGAGTCCTATTGCTGTGCACACTGCAGTTGGATCCAGTTCTTGAATTAATAGTTGAACAATGAGAGGACCATATTTTTGAACTAAACCAGTACAATTTTGTAGGAGACTTGGTGGTAAAATCTGGCAAACTTTGTCTAATATTTCTTCTATCTCATTCTAGTGGACATTATATTTGAGAGAGAAAAACATTATTAACACTTAAATTAGAATGTAAATTATTTTTAAAAATAAGATTTAATTAAGTCATCTCATATACTCCTAATGTTATGCGAATACTTACTTCCGTGGCATTTTCTTTTAAGAATGTATCTATATATGTCACAACATATTTACACAAGTCACAGAGTCCATCATTGGGAGGACTGCTAGATGCAAGTTTGCGTGTCACCGTGGAAACTGCAACACATAATAAAATAGAAGGGAAATTAAGTAATAAGTAAGATAATAACTTTCTCCAAGATACATTACTGTTAATACATCAGTTCGTGCTGAGTATTGTCTAAAGTAAAAAAAAAAGACTACTGCTCCTAAAATTTTGAATTTCAAAAATCAAGATTCTTTGTAGCCTGAATAAATTGAATGTTCATAAAAATTAATAGTGAATCACTTTGACTGGCGAACCTTTACCTGAAGTGTTTTTACACAAGGTTAAAATGTAACACATTGAATCAGGTTGGATTTTTTTTTCAATAAGTCTGACAATCATGGGGGCGTACTCAGCTACAAAGCTAACACACTCATCACTGACTGTGGGGGGGAGACGATTGCAAACATCATCCATATACTTCTCCAGAGTTGTCTGAAAAGAGTAAAAGCATGTTTAATTCATCAGCAACAGAATTAGGTTTTAATATATTCCTGGCACAAGTCTAGCTACTAGTCTAGAATTTCATTCTGTAAACCATACGAAATTGTAAAATCTATTAAAAGAATATTTATTTCATCCATCAATCTACTGAAAATAACGAAGAAAAAAACTTTCCTAAAGTAATTGTTACCTAGACTTGTTTCACCTCTTCTATTGTTTATAGAACACCTCTTCTCTTCTTTGGTTGAACATGAATGACTAATTAATAATTAAGCAAGTACAGTAAAGTTCCCCTTTCAGACCTTGTGATCAATGGGTCTGATGATGTAAAGATGATCATTGAGGGTGTCATGTGGCCAGCACAACAAACAGCCTCCTTTACTTATCCCCAACTAATGTAAAAATCCCAGTTATAAACAGGATTTGATCCCAGGATCTCCGGTTCAGCAGCCAAGCGCTTTACCACTCAGCCAATGTGCCTCGAAAGTCAAAGAAATTCACTTGTTTCTTTTGGTAATAGCCTTACATACAGATCAAATATATAGCAAGATGCAGCACTCAATCTTTTATTGTTATATTTTTTTTGTCAACAATTGGAATGATTATTCTAATTATTGTTTTTAACAATTGGTACATACTAAATAAAGACAATTAACTAATGTCTATCTTCAGCCCAAACCTTTTGTTATATACAGAGCAGATATAAGGTAGAAATGTTGTTACCTCTGTTAAGTTTAGCTGAAGAAAACTTTCAACTTCTGTCAGAACTAATTGGCAGACAATGCAAGGCACACTAGTTGCCACACTGGGTCTTACTTCCTTTGTTTGCGTCACTAAATGAAAAGAAGGAAATTATTTATAACAAGATTCACAACAAAAAACAAACAAACAACATTAGTTAATATATTAAAAAAGATATGAAATGAGTATCAAATAAGGAGCTAAGTAGAATCTCTCTGTCTCTTGATGCATACTTTATAAAACTCTAGATCACTATTCTGTTCAATACAAGTCACTCTCTCTATGCAAACAATAGTGAGTAACAAATCAGTAACACTGCCTTTACATCAAACTGGTTTGTCATGACTCTTTGGTAATTACAACATTTTTTAAAACTATTTAATTTAAGAAAACTAAGCTTAGATTTATTAAGTAACCAAACAAATCAGTAAGACTGCCTTTACATCAAACTGGTTTGTCACGACTCTTTGGTAATTACAACATTTTTTAAAACTATTTAATTTAAAGAAAACTAAGCTTAGATTTATTAAGTAACCAAAAAAAAAAGAAAGAAAAAAAGGAACCAATCATGTTATGATACAAGTAGAACTAAAGTGTAGATGTTGACTTTGGTGAGCTCATGGAGTAGCTTGTTTCAAAAGTTAATGTTATTTAATAACAACTATTTTGTCATGATTATTTCAATAACAAATTTAGGGAGTTTTTAAAATCAGTCTAGGTATCTCTAATGGGGAGAGGGGTGTTAAAGACATCAGGAGGGAAGAAAACACTGGCTTGATTACCAAGCTAGTTCCCAGCAGAAATTTCTGGGCATTGAGCTAAACTACAGTTCATCTTAACTGTTTCGACGTCTAGAAAACATCATTAAAAAAGCATCAAAAATTACACTCACAACATTACCACATTTAAAGGAACTTTTAGAACAAAAGTGCCTGAGAAAAATAGAAAAAATCATGGAAGACAACGGCCACCCGCTCCATCAGAAGTCAGGTCGATGCGAAGTGGGCGACTGCTGTCAATCAAAACAAGAATGGAGCGGTACAAAAACTCGTTTGTATCTCACTCGGTCAGACTCTATCACCGCCATTCATTGATCAGGGAACATGAAATGCACCAAGATACCTGTGTGTAGTCACTGAATGAACTCTTTATGTTGTCTGTTGTATTTATGTGTATTTTTCTGTTGTGTTGTCTTTATATATGAGAAAAGAGTCCTTGTAATCACAACAAATTTCCGTAAGGATTAATAAAGCAGTCTTAGTCTTAGTTTTCATGGCTTCTATTTCTTAGTAAGAAAGAATGTTTGATAACTAACTGTAAAAAGATTGAGCAAACTGCACTCATTGACTTTGACAGGAGAGAAATTTTAAAAATAAATGAAACTGTTATTTTAAAATGAATTTTAGTCAGAGTAGATAATTATACAAAACTTAGAGAGACAGTAACTAGATTCCTCTCATTTTTTTTTTAGTTTAAGGGAATATTTTGCTTTTAAAGAAAAGCCATTGAAGAAATGTGATAAAGAAACTTAAAATTGAAATAATCTTACTTTTTTTTTTTTTTTTGTCAGAAAAATTCTTTTGAATTAACTCAACTCACACTGGTACTCTCAATTTGAGTTGTCATGTAAAACATTGCTTTCATCCTTAATCTTTGGAATTGAAGATTTTGCCATTGTCATTACAATTCTAATAATAGTAATTCAATAAATTTACACCAATGAAATGTGTGTGTGTATATGTGTTTTGTCCATGTAGAACATGACTTTCAGTAGATGATCTGACACAAAAAATTAACACACTAGCTAAATAAATTTATAAAGGCTTACATTTAGAAAGTCTTTCATTGCTGGTATCTACTGCTGCACAAAGCTCAAGACTTTCACACACACTAGTGGGATCCTGAAATACAGACACAGCAGATTGTTAAGAAAAATAAAATTTAAAAAAAAGGCTGATGTTTCAAGTGACTATATTGTTTGCAATGTCAAAAGTTAACAATCCATTTCAGACATGTCTGTTGTTTTAATGGTGCAACATGATGAATAGGGACAGGATATGAATTTGTATATGGAATGTTTATGTTGATGACAGAGCTGAAGGAAAATGTGTGAGGACAGCATGAATGCCTATAGCTCTTGTTTTCTATGAGCATTTTACTTTTATAAGTGCTATCCCTTTTAATTGTAATCTACACTAGCTGTTTACGTATTTTAATGTTTGCAACACAAATGGATATTATAAGTTAGCACTGGGACCAACAGCTAGCCTTTACATTATGTGCCTAGTTTACAACCCCTTTCTCAACAAATTACAAGGTTACTTATTGTTGTAAATAACATGCAAAAACTTAATGGTTAATAATTTTTAATCCTTATGTAATTATTTACTTAAGTAGATCAATTCAGATTCAGGAAAAGAAAGACATACAATTGTAAGCAATGAATAATTTTTTTTTCCTAAATAGCTTTTCTCCTTATAAAATTGTGCTTTATGTGAGATATAAAAGCTTCAATACTGATTGCCTTTACTTGACTATGAGGTGCTCTACACTGATTAAGTAATTGTTACTATAGCATGAAACAAACAAAGAAACGTCTACAGCATGTGCCAGTAAGTGGACCTAATCAAATTTAATGAGCACGCAAATTGTTTAGAAAATAGTTGGCTATTCTTCTTAATTCTAAACGCAGTTAAACATTTGATAAATTGTATAAATAGAATACTTTAAAAAGAAAATATTTTTTTACAAACAAAAGGGTTAAGTTTAAGGCAACACCAAAGGATACCCACCAATTCAGTAGCCAGAAACTCAAAGACAAACTGCAATCCTTGGTCAGCAAGCACATCACACTACATACAATACAATTTTAAAAACTATTCTAATTCTCAAAATGAACAAAAGATAAAATACAAACTAATTTAAATAAGGTAGTCAACCAATTTTCACTTAGACTTTGCTTAACAATGGCAAAATATTCAGTTAGAAATAATAACTATTTTTTATCAGGCATAAATGAAGCTTACCATTTGTTGGAATGGGCCCAATTCAGTGCAGACAGACTTGACCATACTTCTAATGACATCCTGCACATTAAACCAACTTTTTAGTTTTGCACATACAATTTTTTCATTAATGTAAATGCACTCTCAAGGGGGGCAACATAAAGATACCCTTAAGATCTCCCTTAAAGAATGTAAAATTGACATCCACGACAGGGAATTGCTAACTCATGATCACTCCTAGTGGCATGAAGTTGTGAATGTCAGTACTTCAAAAAATATGGAAAAAAATTTGAGATCAGGGAGATCAACCATCAGTAAATAATAATAATAATAATAATAATTTTATTTATTAAGTGCTGTTAACAAACAAAATTTAGGCTAAGGCGCTGTGATAACATTTCAAACATAAACATAAGAGCTAAAATGACAAACTAATCTAATAAAGTTTTAAACA